ACAGTAATCATGGTGGTTTGAGCATGTGAACAAGATGCACCAAGCAGGAGCTTAGGAGGATTTTCTGTACCATCTCGGAGCAGTAGTCCAGCTTTCTCAGGCTTTGGTCTCTACTTAGGACCAATCTCTAACACTTCAAAGGATAGTTGACAACAACAAAACCTCAAATCCCAGAAATGAAATCAATACAATTGGAGGAAAATTTCCTGAAAAAGAAGGAAACTTCTTTTGATCCTATATAGAAAAGTCTGAAGCACTGAAGCATGAGGTGCCATTACTTTTAACAATCTGGTACTTCAGGGGTTCAGAACATAGCACTGACCATGTAAGTAATCCCAGTCTTCCCAGGGCACTGAAGGAAGGGAGCAGTCTGGGGGGCTGAGCCCGCCAACTCCAAGGCTGGTAGCCAGGACCTCCTTTTCACACAAGCCCACGTTGAAGTATTCTTCCCAACAGCTAAATAAAAATGTACTTTTTTTAAGAGATCTGACCATAAAAGACTCTCAGCCATGGAAGTCCATATTTTCCCCAAGGGGTAACTGGAATGTTCAATCATTCTTGCTCCTAGGAAACGGCATCTTATTTCAAGACTGAGCTTATCTAACTGCAGCTGGACCTTGAGAGGTTCTTGTAAACAAGATAGAAGGACCCCACACTGTGAAGCGCCTTACTTAAATACAGGTGTATGGCATATATAGTTATATGCTGTAGCCAAACTACCTCTTATTCTTCTCTATGATAAAATAAATACCAGTCATCTCCCTACTGGAAATCTCTCCGCCTTTGCACATTCAGAGATCACCCTGAGGGAGTGATCCAAAGACCTTTTTAGAGTCACAGTTTTTCAAGGCAGAGCCCTCCACTTTGTAAGTGCTATCTACATCTTTGATACCTGTATATATTACCTTGCATTTAGCTATATTAAAATGAATCCTGTTGCTTTGTGATCATATAGCCAGGCCTTTTAGATGACTCTGTAATAGTACCTTGTTCTCATTATTTGAGACAATAATGATCTTTGTTCCATCTGAAATTTTTACAATAAAAAATTTATAACATAAAAATTGCTGATAAAAGTTAATAAATTACTTTTGTTACCTTGTATTAGATGTAGAATGTCCTGCATTAAGGAAGTAAACATCCATTTTTAATTATGATTTTGTTGAAACTCTAAAAAATGGTCACAGTGAATGTCCAGATAAAGTCTTGCAGTTAGAAATTATATGGCATAAAAAGGTTGATTGTCAAGTCCATGTATGTTTGTTTTATTTCTACAGGTATCCTTAGTCAGCATGATTTCATTTTCATCACTTTTCAGAAATAGCTAGGGATAGTTTAGCATTTCAAAGACAGCAGTTTGTGGTACTCTTTCACCTAGTTTTAATCTGGTTTCAGATAAAAAAGGTATGATTCCCTTTGGAGGACAATAAAAAATATGTAAAAAAGTCCAAAATTTCCTGAAAGTGTGATATTTCTCTATATGTGTAGGATACGATGCTGCCATACACAGTGTCCAGATTTGTGTTATTATAGCCAACATCTTTTCCTCACCCCTATTTTTTCGTCTCCTGATTAATCTTGTTTAGATCCCAACTCTGCAACTTGCTCCATCAGGGTGAATCTGAGATCATTATCCAAGTATTTTGGCATGAGAGATGTAAAACTGACAAAAAAATGATAGGAGAATTAAATCTACGTTATGCTGTAATGGTATGTGTTTCCTTTATGGAAGAGTTTCTGAAAAACTTAACCAAGCTGAAATCAGTAGGGTTCTACAGACATTATTCTAAATATAAGAGAATATAATAGAAAATTCTGTTCCTCTTAAAGGCTTCTTTGACTGTACTTCGGGATTTGAGAGCAGGGATGTTATTTCCTAGTGTTCTGTACCATGTTATAAAAGAAAAAAAGGAGAAAAAGCTCTGTGATCATTTTAAGTTTATTTCTGTAGGACTTTTTCTATATTGGTTAATTATTCATGGTGAAATCCTCTGAGTAAATGGATTTCGCAGAGGGATGATGGGGATGATCCATAAAGTGCAAGGGAAAGGGAGCTATATATGCCGAGCGGGGAGTACTTTAACATTTCATTTCTATGCATGGCTTAAAATACAAATAGCAAAGCCTGATAAGTATAAAACAAATTAAAATGACAATATATAATGTTGTTGCAAAGACAGTATAGTGGTGTAGCATCTCATTTGTTACTTACATTGGAAAATTTATGATGCAATTCTTAAGAGACTGCATATCCTATCTGAGAGCCAGGTGTCCTTTGTTAGGCCATTTATTTTAGATTTCTGTTACTCTGCCTTCTTCAGTAACTCAAAATTAAGGTTCTTGCATAATTCTCAAACCTGGAATTTCAATAAGGCTTTTCATTCCCAGGGTTAATAAATACTGATCCAGCCACCCAGTTCCTAATGCCTGCGTAAGGAAAGTAGTATTGTTATCTCAGTGTTAGTCACTGTAAAACTTAGGCAGAGGAATTAAAGAACTACTCCCATCAAAGCAGTTACTGGGCAGCCTGAGAATAAAAATCAAGATTTTCCCAGTTCCACTTCCCATAAAACAAATCTTTAATGCAAACATTCCCCAAAATTTTGCTGCTGCTACCACAGCGTTTCATAAAGGAGACTGGGAAGAAGGGGGAGGAAAGGTGAACCTATTGTTAAGCGGAAAGCGTGGCAAGCGTGGCATCCAAACAAGGGAAAAAACTTCTTAATACTGGAATGAATTTGCTCTCTGTGTCAAGTGTGAACGGTGCCTGCATTGTACGGTTTTGTTGTCCACTCTCCTGAGCAGATGGAGCTTGCAGTTGTATGTCACTTGTTTATTACATCCTCTTAAGATTAGTAGCTGTGTGGCCAGATGGGTCTGGGAGCACAGCTGTGGATACAAGGAAATAAATGAAACCTGTCTGATGCTGCCATGCCCTTTTGTGAGATACTGACATGTTGCAACTGCAACAAAGCAAAAATCACTTTCCTTTAATATATCAGCGAATTAGATGTACTTTCTTTTTTTTAATCAAATCATATGAAATCAGGAGGATGAGGTTCAGAGGACGATGTAATTCTAAGAGGAAAATGTAGTTGAAATCTGTAGCAAACAGCCTCAGCAAATTTACAGGAGCAATTTTAATATGGTAAAATAAATTTAAAGTACATCTCAATTAATCATCCATATAAAATGTAAAGCAAAGATTTCTATAGAACAAAGATTCCTATAGAGCGTATGCCAACTAGGCAGTAGTATTTCAAAGTTTATTAGATGGCATATGTTGAATTATTGATCCAACATTCTGATAAACTATATAATGCATTCATGTAAATGCAAATGAAATGCTGTTCTATAGAAGAATGCCAGATTATGGGCTAGACTTTAAAAAATGAAGCTAACACAGTTTTAACTCCTTCATGGCAGTGGACACACAAAGTTGGTCACAAAGCCACCACCAATCTAGAGATACCGGATGGAATTCGTCCTACAGTGCAGGTCGCCACACCAGAGGTATCGCCTCCACTCCCCTTCTAGTCTAAGGGGAGAAAGAGGCATTTTTAGGAAGAATTCACCTGACCTCTTTTAGAGGACGCAATGAAACTTGCACCAAAGAGGGTCAGATTCTCTCCTTGGACCGTAAAGGGTGTTTGATTGTCTAGGTGCGGTGTAGGCATCTCCTTTCAGTCCCACTGGCAGAGTAGATTTGATGTGGCATCTTCAGTACCAATTCAGATTAGTTGTTATAAAGTCACTGAACTGTTTTTCTTCTCTCCTTTTAAGTATACAGCTGGATTGTTCCGATGCAGATTGTTTGTAGGTTAACATGAAGCTGAGATTTGGAGGGGAGGTTGTTGCTTCTTTTTGCAGAGGGAAAACGGTTTTGGGGGGTACAAACTAACCTGTACTTTTGAGCACCTCCGCACATGATTTTAAAAATATATCATGCTAATAAGGACTGAAGCAGTGCATGTTGTTAGCTGTGGAAGCGACACATTCTGTGAGCTGAAGGAACATAAGGATTTTTCTCAAATTTATATTTGTTCTTTCATTGTCTAGCAAAATGAGAATCAACACTATAGGAAGTGTGCTGTGCTTTCCAGGAAAATAAAAGCTTAAAAATGTGAAATACTGTGACTTTGAAAGAAGTAGTGTTATAAAGAGGATGATCATACTATGATTTATTATATCTGAGACCTAAAGTTGGAGCTTAGTCCAGCCTTAAGATAGAATATGGTGATAGGCAGTCACATAATGAGTATGACGTGTAGTACAAAAACATTATTCTGCTTCTGAAAGCTGCTATAAATCATGTATACTTTGGAAGACTCTTTTATGTTAATTAAGAAAGATGCAGCAAGTTGCAGTATTTTATGGGAAGAGAGGCAAGTGCAAGTGCAAATTGTTGTGCTTTGCCTTATTGCAGGGAGGAAGGAAGAAAAGTTTCGTCCAATTCTGAAGGATTTTTTAGCTCCATATTGTAGTGCATGCCAGGAGGTTGGGAGGTAGAGGTAGCACTTTTCATTGACTTCCACCATACTGTGTTTGCTTCATTAAAAAATTACAAATTTGTTGGCAAAAAGCAGTAACATATTGCTAGAAAACATCAAAATTCACAGTGTAAATTCGTAACTTAAATTTGTGTTCAAAACTGTGGTTTGTGAATTCTGTCTTTTCTTTTAAAAAAGAAAGAATAGCATAATAAAAGGACGTAAAGCTCCTATTTCTAGGTCAGATGAAAGATCTTTCTTTAAGCCAAATATCCTATTTCTGGCAGTATATCAGACTCACCAAAATCTTTACTAAGCGAGTGGATTTTATAACATTCTGCATCGCAAAGAAGAAATCATTAAAGTATCAATGCCTTATGCAATTATATGTGTCTGATGTTATTTTGATGTGCATTATAGAATGGAAATAATATTTATTCCTGATTTATCTGAAAATATGGTACTATTTCTAACAGGTTTTGTTTTATTTTTTTTCTCTTATTTCTACAGGAAGTTGCCCTTGTCCTTGCAGCTATACTGGTATTTTTGTTGGCTTTCTATGCTTTCTTTTATCTTAACATTTCCACTGAAGTTGACCTTGATCTGGATCCAGATGAAAACTAGCAGATGCAATGAATCTATCATCAAGATTTCTTCAGCTTGAACAAGACTACGTAGGAACACACAGTCCCTTCACTGTGAGACAGTAAATGATGCCATTTCTTGCAGTCCAAATTCATAAGCAAGTTTTGCAATATGTCAGTCACTTTTACATTCCAGATCTCCAAAATAAGAGGACACTCATGCCCGGCAAGTGTATTTGGTTAACACCAAAGCCAGGAGCAGCAGTACAATACATGAAGTTTATTGTTTACATTATTTTTTTCTCAGGCAGAGAACTTTGATGTCAAAAGACAGGTGCTATTGTTATCGTGGATATTGATGCTGACTTCACAGGAGGAGAGTCTGCCTTGACTAAATTTAGGAATCAAAGCTTCCTAATAGCCAAATTAGGTTCCTTTTCCTTTCCCAAAAGAAAGCAGAAATGCCAAATAAAAAGTCTTTTCTTGGTTTGTATTTAAAATATATCAAAAAACCCTCATCCTTTCTCCCCCTTTTAATCTTCCTTGTGGCTGTGTGCACACGCGCACGCACGAAGATGGAAGAAATTGTAGGAAAAAAAATATCTTTTTAGAAGCAGTCTGTCACCTCCTATATGGACTTAATTTTATGTCATCCCAGATTCTGTGTGCCCATATATCTGCAGTAATCTTTTTCATTCTTTTGCCAACTGTTCAGCACACATGTGTTCTGTCAGAAATGGCACCTGGATGACAGAAGCTCTAACATTCGCATATGCCTCTGAAACACAGTTCTTTGCCTCCTGTGCTGTCTGAACTAGTGTAAATAGAAAGTTCAGTCGATGTTGGTTTTAATTAGTGTATTGCTCTATTATTAATATAAAGTCAAAACCGTATTTTAATTATACTCTTCCTGCTGGTTGTGGTATCAACTTGCTCTACCTGTTAGCGGGATGTTGTAAAAAAATTGCTTTCGAGTTATACAATCATTCTAATCATCAAACTAATGTAAGAAGTTGTAAGTATTAAGAAACCTTTTTTTTCATGCATACTAATAATTGGGAAAATCTTGGCCCCATGACATCCTTCAGTTCTTGCGAAGTACCTTTCAGAATATGCACTGTAGATAACATTTCTGATCCCTTTGGTAACCACAAGCCACTTGAAGAAGTTGGTATGTCAAAGCAGCTGCAGGGAGCTGTAAAATTCTGGCTTTATCCTGTTCTGCTTCGGCTTTGGCATATAACTGAGCTTGTGGCTGTAAAGGTTCAGTTTTGATCCTTTTAAAAATGTGGTCAGTCTTTCTCTAGTTTGGATTCACTCTGATACCAAGAAAAGCATAGAGCCATTGGTGCTGAATGTGGCAAGGGAGTTAGGCAGATTGACTTCCAGAAAAGTTATCATAATTCTGAAATTCTGTTAGCAAACTAGCTTGGTTTTATCTTTGATACCAATTTCAGGGCTGAATGATAGGTTTAGTTGCAACTGAGATGTTTACTGACTTGTTCCAGAAATGCCTAAGATTTCTTACAGTGATTTTGAAGACAAAGGGATACAAATCATAGCAAATATTATAATGGAAAATATATTTATTTTAAATTGACACAGTCCCATTATCACCACTTAAGGAACTTAGATCGATACAGTTAATTTTCAAACCATACAGTAACTATGACCATATACATTATGAGTCTCTAAGGATCCACTTCTTATCTGTCATACTCCTCATTCACTTTGTGCCGCGCAAAACAACTCCTCTAGAAATTCAGAGTACAACAGTCTTCCAAGAAGGATATGAAAGAGAAGCATAAACATATATGTGCAAATATTTCTCATTTTCTAATTATGACTGTTACAGACACAAAATCCTAACATTTATGCATTCATATGACTTACAGTCCGCTAATACTCGCACACATGACCAAACGCTTAGCAACATGTTGCATTTATGGTGAAGCATTATCTGACACATGGCCCGACTTTCAGTGGAGAGAAAAGCATATCACAAGCTGTCTCCTTGGATGTGACATGCCTTTCACTTCCCCAGTGCCACACCACATGTCACAGAAGCTGCAGACCTCTCCTGTTACTTTGCATGAGCAATTTTCTCATTGCATAAAATGCTGGAAGGATTGCTTTCTTAATGCCTGCACGTAGCTCTCTGGGTGATGTGTGGCCTGAGAATGATGTGTAGTTATCCCCTTCATGCAGGTTGTCTCGTAACCTGCTTTCTGAGTCAGATACATGAAAAAGCAAGCTATTCTTACTGTCAAATTTATGAACATGAAGTTCCTAGAACAGGAAGATTGCATTTCCCATAATTATGACTCATAGACAAAATCCGAAGCGCGTATATGTGTGATTGAAGCAGCTTCCCTGATTTGTGGCTTATCAGTCCATATTGCCCACAAGTGCCATAGTTTGCAGTTTGTCTGTTGCCTTCCTTTAGGTTAGGCCTTTTCATTCACATGAAAGATATTCTCATGTAACAAAATTTCCTTTTGCTCAGATAAACTGGATAGACTTCTGTTCAGTGTACATAGAAATACATGGCAAATATTGCAGCAAATACACTTTTTCTCTTACCAGTACAATAATTTCTAATGGGACTATGTCAATAGTTTTTTAAAGCTAAAAGCTCCCACTTTTCATCAAATTATTCATCCTTGGTTTTCTAAAAGGCACAAGCACAACAATGTTAGCAATGAGGTCTGATTCTGAGCTTACTAATTTGTGATTCCTCTGAGTTCACTGAAATTACAGCTGATTTACTCCAAGGGAAAATCAGAATCTGACCTGAAGTTATTTCTGCTTTCTGGAGCGCTACATTGTCCATGCCTGATATTTTAAAGTAGAGACTGATTTTAATCTTGCAAACATGTGGCTTATTCTGCCCTTAATTATACCTGAGATTGAATGCCTCTTGGTTTTTGGACCACCTATCTTTGTATGAGTTGCTCAGTGTCTATTTTAATAATAAATGTATTTTTACTATTTTTGTGCTCTTATTAATGTTGGATGTGTCACACTGAATTATATATACATTTGAAAGGACTTTAAAGCAATCTAAACAGCACAGTGTTCAAATGCGAGCAGTGATATTCACCAGTTTTAGAATATCTGGATTATTCTAGGCAGTTTAACCGCCTAAGCTCATATTAAAACTAAGCATAGCCTGTGAATACTTAAAAGACAATAAAAAGAACTTCCCTTGGCATGCTACTCAGTATCAATAGAGCAGATCTCTTTCTGCAGGCAAAGTTGTTCCATGTAGCTCCCATCAACTTCAGACAGATTGACGTTATTATAAAAGTAATACTTTTATACGCTTGTTTCAAAAAAAGATTGCTGATCAAATCGTTTACACAGCAGCCCTGGCTTAATGGGGCAGGTTTTTTCAAGGATATTCACCTCTGCGGAAAGGGCAGATGTCGGTATTGATGTTGCCCTCTGCTTGTGGAGTAAACTGAATTTCTTTCCAGCAGAGGTTGTGGAGGAGATGCCTGTACTGAGTCCTCGTGCTGTGGGTGGGAGCGGATGTCCCATCTGGAAGAGTCTCTGGCTAGGAAGGCACGACAGTCTTCCAGCAGTGACTTTGCTCAGTAAATCTTTCCTCAGCAGTTTTCCTTTTCCCTTTGATCCTACAAAAGCAGAACCAGCCTGTAGACCATCTCAGGACAGAAGCCTCAATATAGTAGTTTTACTAGTGCTGCTGGTGAACGTTGCCAAGGAAAGGCTTTAACTCTATTTCCCAGAGTCCATAAATACATTTTACTGGAAGCTTAGGAGGCATGTTAAGCATTTACCTAATGGACCCTAGAGATATATTTAAACTTCTCTTGAAGAACGCTTTATTTAAAGTTCACTGTTGCATATCATGTAGACATCATGTGATTCAGGATCTGTCATAGGTCCTTCCGTGCATCAGACCAGCTATAGCAGGGACAACACATAGACTGTGAGATTATGCCGCAATACATAACTATGAACATACGTAACGTGAGCAAACGCATCTGTTTTGGTGTCATCTAGAGTAGCTGACCTAACAAGTCGTGTTTGAAAACAAATGGTTTTTAATCAACCCTACTAAATGAAGGCACAGTGAAAGCCCTACAAAACCGCTCATCCCATTTCCATGAAAATTGCTACCACGGAAGAGGCTTGTCTGCTGACTTAGGGCCAAGTTTTGAATGCTGCCCTTTCAGGGAGCAAAATGTTGCTAGCAGCTCACAGTAGAGTGATGATTCATTTTGCTCTGATACGGGATTGTGCCTATAAGGCACAACTGAGCCAGCTGGTGAAGGTCAAATGCATTTGGGACAATTCTCAGTAAAGGACTGTACTTGAAATGCAGACTAGGCAAGTTAGAGTGCCAACAAACAGGATACTGCAGATCTTGATCGCATTTCAAGTTTTACTTACAGTAGCATAATAATTAGTGGTGCTTATGACTAAGAAAATAACGATACGCTACATCAGTAAGACAGCAGAAATGTGATGTTGGAACTGCTTCTTAAAAGATTTTGTAGTGGATTATGCCTGCACTTTGGGAAATGAATCCATGAGATGAATAAACTGGCAAAGATTGTCTGTGATCTGATGCTTACAATATTTTTCCCTGAAAGAGCCGATGGACATATTTTGCAACACTTTTCCCCATCATCCTCTTAGTTTGCTGCAATACGTTCTTTTGTAGATGTATTTCTACACTTTTCCAAGAGTGGAAAAATATTTGTTGTAGTTCATCAATGCATTAATTGACAGAATCCTCTAATCTTCCTTTTATTCCCCCTTAATCACAACCAAATTGGTGGGGAGACAGCCAAAATGTTAGGTACCAGTGTCTCTCAAGCAGATGTCACACCACTATTTTTTAGCTCGTTTAAATGAATAAACATGTTAAACTGTGAAGTATTACATTTTAGATTTTTTCATTAAAAAAAATGGGACAATCTGTTTACTGTCCTTAATTGAGACAACAATCCTGGTGGTTGCCAGTTTTGGCAGTTGTAATGATGAACTATAAATATTGGGACAAATCAACTAACTGGTGATTGTGGAGGATAGTTCAAGTAGAAGCCTCATTCTGCATGAATACTTTTTTCAGTGCTATATTTTTTCTAAGTAAGTTCTATAATTGTTATACTGGTTTTGCATGTTAAAACCACAAATAAATACATGACTAGTCAAACAATAGGCTTGATTCTGTTGTCTTATTCTGAATCACTAAAAAAGCAGATAAAAGCTGACAGCCCTACAGCACATTTCATGCCTTGCCCAAATTCTCCCTAAAAGGTGTTTGTTCAGGTCAGTTATAAATGTGAGCTATGAAGAGCTTCATTTTGCTGAACCTTGGAAAAACTGAGCAGCATATAGATCTTTGGGAGTTTGCCATTTCACAAAGAAATTGTAGGAATTTTAAAGAGCGAAGCCACAGGAGATGAGTATGGAGTTTGGTGACAAACTGATGTCATTCTCCTATCGCAGTTCCTCC